TAGAGATAATAAGAGCTTCACTAGAGTACGCAGCGAAGGTATTGGCCAGCGTGGGATGCAGTTATGAGCTAGGTCCTAATTGTGGCTAGCGTGAGAGAGGAAATAGCTATTGTTCTCTCACAGCGAACTTATCCTCACAATCTGCTTCTGATGTCCAAGGGTTTTAACAAAGGAGGGTAGGGAATGGGAGTGGGCAACGCCGCATGTCTAGCTTAGTCCTGGGTGTCAAAAGATCTTCCATTCCGCTGCTCTTCGTGAGAATGGAAACGTGCTGCTTGATGCGGGAATAACAACATACATCAACGAGCAAACTGCAACCATTGGTTGCCAACCTACGTCATTCAGAGAGAATTGCCAAGGTAGAGCAAGGTGATTGACAGGTGACGAGGTGGCGCAAGGCCCCCCCTTCACCCTCTTCAACCCGCTTGACCAGAGATGGAAATTCGTGAAGTTCCAGCTCCGAAGGCATAAAACAAACAGCAAGGATGGGTCTTGTACAGACTACAGTACTCGAGCTAGCGCTCAGGCATTTATTACAGCCTCGATACCGGCGTATGGTAACGTATCGATGGGCGTAGTAGGCGTACTAAACAGCCAGGCCCAGTAAACCGGTCGTGCCCTTAAACAGATTGGTCCCGTACTGGCCAAGGTATCGAGAAACTGAAAATGGGACCAAAAAGTGTCAACGCCGGTCTTTTTTTGCAAAGTCCCAAGACGGAGAAGGAGGAAAGTCCGTAGTGAAGTTGGTGATGAGGCAATAATAATAACAATAATAATGTATATTATTATTATTATTATTATTAATATTATTAAAGGTGGTTCCAGAGAGGAAGAAACTCAACCCAATTTACTTTCCGCCTTGACTCTATATAAGGGCCGCTGTCCCTCCTGCTGTTGCTACTTCTCCCTTCTTTTCGACATGCTTCTGCGCCGCCTTCTATTCGATTCTTGCTAGTCTGCTACTTAACCCTCCTTTAATTCTTCTCTAATATACTTATCTATACTAAACTCTTATACCTTCTCCAAGAGATCCTCTATTCTCGTCGTAGTTCGTTACATAAGAAACTTTGCTTCCCGCGAAAGCGCCTCCTATCTTCTTCCATACATCTAGGCATTCATACGATCAACACTAATCCAACCACCACCCCCTCCGTCCTCTCCATACCTATTACTCATCCCTAAATCAACCCTCTTTTTTTCCCCATTGTGAACTCTTCGGTCTAAAATTCAATCGCACCAGACCATCCAACTACCCCAACTCAACCTATCTGTCGCATTCATACATCCCCGTTCTTAACGGAAAACAAAAACGAACTATCGTAAACATGTACTCCTGTGCAAACTACCCTCGTGGCTGCCGTGGCCGCGTGAACACCGAAGGAGGCAGATGCGCTGATTGCGTTGTATGTGAAACCAAAGCTGCCCGTTTTTTAAGAAACAAAAAGATTCCAAACTGACTGATTTCCAGACAGCAAACCTGCGTCGTCCAGCTTCTCCTTCTCCCTTCTCTCCCCTGCGTGGACAGCCAAACTACAGACGTGCCTGGGATGTTGAGAAGCCTGCCGAGTCCAAGGATGAGGAGAAATTTTAAATGACCTCCACAATGAATCAGTCTCCCAAATTAAGTTTGGTGCTTAGTACTGCAATGTTCAAGGGGTAAAGGGGGAAGAAGACATACCGAAAACCTACACAGTCCAACACAGTCCAGGAGACCTCAAACCGATTTTGTTTTATTTTTATTTTATTTTGATGGAAGGCAAAATGAAAAACACTAAAAAATATAAAAATAAAAATAAAATAAAAAAAGAGAGACAGGGAGAGAGAGAGAGAGGTGGAACTTAACGAGAATAAAACAAACCGTTTCCCCGTATTATATTACTTGAATATCTATCTACCTTTTTCACTTCCTCGAAATTACACTTTGCGCTTTCGTATTTCACAGACTCTGTTCAGGGCAGGCCTATTATCTATTTTTTATTTTTTTTATTTTAATTTATGTTTCATGTTTATCGATCTTACTATTCCGGATTGTAGCTCAATGTTATCCTTGTTTCAATCTTTTTTACATTTTCCTTCTTCTCTCTCCAACATCCTCCCTCATGACTAGTTCTAACGCAAGGGTATTTGTTATGTCTCATCGCATTAAGAGGTATTCTGCTCATCACATCTACATGAGTATCCAAGCAACGGTGTAGTTTGTTTATTTGAACTCCTTTGGTTGGGAAGTGATATAAAGCTGATTTTATTTCCCACACTTGTTAGAAAGCACTTCCGCCACGATTCATGTCCTGCCCTTCCATTTTTTGCCGATTTGAAATACTGGAACTATGATTTGTACTAACTTTGCTTCATTTACGTGTTTTGATTTAACCATGAACTGGTCATTCATTTATATTATTCCCGCACGCCTTTGCCTTGTGTGTATTTTGCTTTTGGAACTCATTAACATGAAGTTCGATTTGGGAAAAAGCAAAGAAAACAACCTCGCTTAGCGCCTGTCTAGAAAAGCTAAGATTGCAGCTAAATCCCAAATCTGAAACGGCAGGTTACTTCGAGAAGCGTTCCAATAAGAGCACCAACTGGATATTTTCTTCTCCTTTTTGACGCAGCAAATCCCTTTTTTTACTTTTACTTTATATATATATTTCTTTTCTCTGGAACGAGCCAAATCAGCTAAACGGCAAAAGAACCTCAAAGGACAAAATATGCCGAACTCGAGGCATCAGGGGGTGGCAAAAGCACCTACGTTCACAAAAATGTAACTGAAATGTCAGCATAACATAATTTTTATAATTTTCGTTTCTTTTTTCCAGTATTTTTTTAACCATGAAATTTACGGCCACCCTTACCCTATATTTGTCATCTCCTATTCTCTCTGTCTTTTCCGGGCCTCGGATTCTAGCAGGGTGGAAACGTGCACATCTAGGGTAGAAGGGGAAAGATGTGAATAGACAAATTTGCTTTTGTGGGAGAAGAGAGAAGAGGTGTGCTACAAGGAGAGACACTAGACCCTTTTGCCGCTCCTATACGATATTTTTGGTGTTGAGAGTGATAGCATTTTTTTCCTTTTCTTTTCTTTTCTCTATATTTTCTCAATTTTTCAATTTACAAGTATCTATGAGGGATTGAGAATGTATTGCAATTATATATTTCCATGATACAGATCGCCGTGAAAAGTATTATCTTGAATCCTGTATGATACAATCGCCACCGACAAATATGATAGCGCTGCATATCATACAAAATAGCTACTGTGGATAATAGTACTCCTTAAAGTCCCCAGAGACGGACCTGAAGTTCATTTGCGGTGAGGATCACTCTTTAAACTCAAACGCAAAGAGAAAAAGAAAAAGTTTCCCCACAAACCAAGGAACCATGGAACGCTCACAGCTATCGAGCTCTGGCACAAACAGACGCCATCTTCGATCAGGCACCCCGAGTTGCAAAACTCCACCCCCTTTACTTGTCTCCTAAGTGGACAAACCACTCAGTGTGGCATGTAAGCCTGACAGGCCCCGAGCCCCATCAAGGCTCTTTGGGCTGCCACGCAGGAAAGCATTTTGGTTCCCCACTTTCCACCCGAATAGCCCCCCTTTTTTTTTGTCTTGCCAGGCAAAATATGGCCCCGGTAAAGAAGGGAAAATAGGTTCAAGGGGGGGATGGGATATGGGAACAGTTGATTGGAGCCAGATCGTCCATGCCTGTCGATCATGATCAGGTGCGTAGCTCATGGGCTTTCGCTTTTGGATATTTCTGGGATAAGATGGGACAAGATAGCCGAGGGGAAATAGGGGAGGAAAATTCTAGGAAGCAAGCATGGAATAACTTAAGGGGAACGGAGCGGGATGAGCCATGGTTAGCAAGGGGGCGCATCCTAACTTCGAGCTTGAAGCGGGGAAAGGAGAAAAAGACTAAAAAGTAAAAGCTCCAACGTTGAATTCATTGAAAGGGGAACAGCAGTTTCAGGGGCACACACCTCCAACCCGTGAAAATGATAAAAAAAGAAATGGAAATGCTACTGGTAAGTCCTCGGGAAATAAAACATGTACGACATCACGGTTGTTCAGTGTTTTCTGTTTTGTCTGTCCTCTAGTTTGCTTCGTACCTCCGCGGTAACTACAGCAGATATGACGTCAATTTTATGCTTCTTTTCTCTTTTTATTTTTTAATTATTTTTGCTTTTTCTTCTATCGCCCCGCCAAACTTGTGAGTCAACGACTCACGGGATAAGATTCGCTGTGCGCTGCGTATTATTTTGCAAGGTTGTTTTCGCCCAATCTCAACTTCTCCCAGTAGCGTGGTTTCAGGTTCATCCCCACCTGTGTTTAGCGTTGGCGTGTAACTATCTGGCGTGGGCTCCACTAATTAAATTCCAATTACGTTCCTTTTTTCTTCTGGCTTTTGGGCCGCCGTTCGCAGATCGAGGCTTGCGATTACTACGCGACCAATAACGCAGGCACTCACTCATCAAGGATCAGGATAGAATCGATCCATCCTTCACCTCTGGCATAGTCAATGAAGAAATGAAATGTTATATTGCACCCCCTGATCAACCTGAAACTCAGCTCAGATCCCGTTCATTGTTGAAATTGAAGAAGTTTAAAATGGATCGTTCACGCTGGAGAGTCTTGATACCCACTTGGAATGTTCCTTATGGGCTATGCACTTGCACTAAGTTTAATGATAGGCACCTTTTGATATTAAGGGACCTCTACTCTGCTGTCCAGAACAATTGACGTGTTCAGAGCTGATGATATGAGTGGTGAATATGACTTCACCAAGACCTCGTTGCGCATGTGCGTGATAGGGTTGTTTCATCCGATCAAGGCCACAGCATGGCTCTACTAGCCTCATTATTGTTGCCAATTGATTGATAATTCATCGACATGACCGGGGGCCCCAATACAAGACTATCAGCGATGCATACGGAGTAAAGTCTCACCCAAACGTGTTTCTGTGACAATTAAGGATCGACCATGTGACCACGATCTGACTCCAATATGCCGCTATCATCTTCAGCTTCATGGATTCAACCCGCAACCCCCGGACTTTTGACTTGGGACTTCAGACCTCGACGCCACCACCACCATGCGACTACCGAAATTCTAGCCACCTATCGACGACAGACAGACAAGTAGGCTGTTTTGTTTGATGGATTTTTTTTTTCTTCCTTTTCTCTCTCTCTTTTTTTTTTTTTTTTTTTTTTTTTTTAAAAAAAAAAAAAAAAAGGATTGTTCCCCAATCCTCAACCTTGAAGGAAAGCGATTGGTTGGCTTCCGTGTTCAATAATAGACTTCAACTGTTGAAGTCAAACAAATATCTCTGCAACCGTTTTAAAACCTTGCCAGCCCAAACCACCTTCAGACAGAAATGGGCGGCACAAACTTGATTGAATGAATGCTGCCCTCGTCATCCACGTGCCCCAGACCTCCAGAATTCTCACTAAGCATCATCCATGCATCGCAAGAGCTGACTACCACTTACTAGCCCCAAGGACATACTTATCACACGAAGCCCTTCTCTCTTCGAACAGATCAATGCTTACTGAGCAAACTGTTCCAAGCATACCTCCAGCCCCATTATGCCAGAAAGTGACTCAGAGTGCTCCTGCATCACCCTTAAAGAAAAATACCCGTTTCCGACATCTCATATCTCACACCTGCTTTTCCGTCTTTCAAATGGAATAATTGTCGGAAAACTGAGATGTTATTCTTGCATTCTGTTTTATCAGCTACCTATCATTGCTACCATCTATTCTGTGGCTTTCATTTGTAAGAAAGAGCTTCTAGTTGAAGCTAATTGGTATATGCCTTGGTTATATTTGAACAAATGGTTGCTACTGTTGCTTGTATATACAATAGGCCTTACAGGCATACGACGGGGACGGGGCGGGAAATTAAGCATCCACGTGTTTCCTGAAGCCAGTATCTTGGAAATTCTTCCCTATCTATAGGTAGTCATCGGTGCACTATCCGGTGTTTATTTATGGGATTACACAGAGCGGAGAGACCGATTCGCCTGGTATCTATCTTGTCTTGAAAAAGAGAGAAGAGTTGGAGACGACGGTGAATGGCCCCAATATCCTAAGAAAGGCAGATATGTTCTGTAATATGTTGTTGGTAGCATTTTTTAAGGCTACCATTCTTTCTCTTTGATCTAGTATCTCGGTTGGACATTGTCGAAATCTCCAAAAGTATTCTGTTCTCAAAACTACTCTATTTCTTTTGGCATCGACCGGACGCCCATTATATATTCCCTGTCAGTCTACGGATTCACCATGGATTCATGCTTGACACTTTGATTTTCCACTCAATTTCTTTAAGACAGCAAAAACCGGAAAACACTTCTCGTGGCTGAAGCCTACAAAAATCGGTTGAGAGCTTGATTTCCCAAAGCAATCCTTCCTGCAATGGAGGGGCTAAGGCTCAACATCCCGTTCTGCTAGATTAAAATAATCGGCACTTTGTTAATATGCCGAGTTCACTTTTGCATTAAACTTGGTGGCTCAGCCCCACCAGTTTTAATCCGGATGTGTCGTCACCGTTGATATCTTTGATACCTAAAATATGGACTACCAGAAATCATCTCCGCAAAGATATAGGACGAATTCGTCATATGCATATCATATTCTTGATTCTCGAAACTTCTTTCAGCTATTTCCCCGCGCACAAGGAAACACACCCATGTTCCATTTTCAAAAGACTTGCACTTTAGGTAGTATGTACAGCACAAATTGTATTATTCACAAATCCAAAGCCATGTACTTCCTTCTAGCGTGTTCCTTTCTGTTGTTTGTACCCTCGGTCTCGTCATTTTGATTGGCTGGTTTACTAACATACTTCCTCACATTCATCTGCATACAGATCTAGCTCCTAGTCTTGCGTACTGCACCGCAAGGATTATAATATAGATTCATATAGATACACACCTATGTACCCTCTACGATACGAAGAGGCATCGTATAGTACGATATCGTATGATACGAGCATAAATTCATTCAAATTATCAGAGATGTACACCAAAACAAGGACATTCAGAATGCAATGACGATACTATTTTTTGGTTGTGCACATTGCAGAACAACCTCATGTCAACCCTAGTTATGGTATTTGCGACCACTACAAAATAGCTATTTATAGATCAGGATCTCCCTTCCAAGTTGTTATTCAACAACTGGCTTCGCCCGTCAAGGGCATCGAGCTGTCAGTAAATAGCGCATATTCATATCTTTTCCCCAAGCTTCGTGAACATATTCAGGTACGTATTTCGCTTGCGCATGCAAGTGATGACCAGAATCCTAACAAAGGATTTAGAAACTTCTCCCGTACCAAGCATTTTTCTCCGTAATAACCCTTGTTAACCACAATTTGGTTTTGAACACACAACTACGTTTACAAGTACATGCACAAGCCTCCATGGTATGAATTCTGCCCCGTAGAACGGCGGAAAGGACGGTTCTGCAGATACAAGCGTTTCCAATCAGACATGGTAATAATAGTAATGGCATAGGTTCGGTTACCTCAGGCATGATGAGAGCCCACTTGCAGGAAAAATTAGGGACGTCGAATGATGTTACGACACCAAATATATATATATATTCTCTCTGGAAAGTTGAGAGTAACTATTTCCTCCCGTTGAACCATTTTCTCATTTTCTCCCAATAACCTCGCATATCATTGCGCCGTCGTGCTGCAGCAAAACAACACTCTTTATGCAAGATGCAACTCGATCCCTAACTTGGACAGTAAGCAACTGAACATGATCTGTTGGAACTATGCATGATTGCGTCAGCTGGTATTGCTCATGCCGCCCAAACGTCATAATGAAGATGTCAGACATTGAGATGATGTAGGAGAGGAAGGGTTATTGACGGCAAAAATTGTGGGGTTGAGGAGTGGGGTCATAAACGGCGCTGCATAATTGTTTTTCTTTTTTACCTTTTCTTTTCTTTTCTTTTTCTTTTTCTTTTTCTTTTTTTTTTTTGTTGTTGTTTCTTTTAAACTCTTGGACTTTGGTGTCAACTGGTTTAATTTGACAGAGGTTATTTTATACAACCCGGTCCAGTATTTTTCTTCCAAATTCTTTCCGTTATTTGCTGCTTGCGGTCTGTGCTCGCGGCTTACGCAGCAGTATTCACTATGTTTTCAATGCTTCTTATGATTAGCTCTCTTCGGGAAGTTATCTGTTTTATGCTTTCAAGTTTCCAAGATCTCACTCCGACAACTTTCGTGTTTGAAACTTTAGCTAACTATCCTAGACCCCTCCTCTCTCGTAATTCTCGGCTTCCTTTTACCCCAGAAACTCGACCAGGGTGCAGGGAGTCTATGCTGCATGGATGCCCAAAATATTTTTAGAAATTCGACGGTTGTGGAAGAGGGATTTGTTTTATTGGCCTTGGGTAAAATCTGATTTCAGTATGTCATCATAGTCGGGGAGTTCCAAGTCTCCTGCGGGAAGTTTTGTCTCATGTGAAATGGTTTTTGAGGTCATGTGAAAGGTGTCAGTTTCTCCAGGGCTCATCTGGTGGGCTGGAGATTGGGCCAGGGTGCAGTCTGATTTTCGCTCATTGGATCTATTCTTCTGGCGCTCAAGGCCAAGATTGCCCAAAATCACCACGTTCGCAGCAAAGGCAAGTCAAACTCCGTTGTTTCGGCATAAATCCTGATTTCACAGAGCAGACGGGATGAAACTTTTTCTGTCTTTAGTCATTAACAGCGGTTTCTTAGACGTCCAAGGAACAGCCAAGCAATGGAAGACCCAGTCGTTAGATTTCAAGAATGTCCTGCTTGCTCTGACGTCAGCGGAGGTGCGTGCCGACTTGGTTGAAACTGGTATCTTGGATGCCGGAAAACGGCCCCCCCGTCTCACACAGGCTTGCCCGGGGCATGATAGAAATACCCTCAACACAGTCGAAGTAGATCTTGTTACCATGTAAAGAATCCCGGAGTTATAACTTCAAACTGTGCCTTAATCTGCTGGTAATGTAACAGTCACTGTTACCACACTGTTTGGAACAGTATTGGTATGTAATTCTTCTAAGGATTGATAATTAAATTTCACCCCCTTACTGCGGCTATTTTCACCAGGCCTCCGAAAATGCTGTATTTTTTGTCAGACTGTGTATTACGCCATGCCTGATTCTGAATAACTAGTTAATTTTAGCGGTGTGTAAATAGCCAGCCAGTTAAAGGGTGTAATTATCAATCCCTATTCTTTTAGCTTCGCTTTTAAATATCTAAGCGTGTTTTGGCTTTAGAGCATCCCAATCAACATTATTATGAATCATATTTATTAGTTAACTAGATTAATCTGTTTATGATAAGATTGATAAATGAGAAATTTGAAGTTACTAAAACGTAAGACTTGAAGCTGTTTGATAGGCAAGGTATTTTTTCATATTAACTTTTCAGTACATCATGAAATCAACAACGAGCATGTGCTGCTTTCTCATATCAATGACAACCAAAGAACGTGTAGCTACCCACAAGACTTCGAGATTGCCCTTCATTTTGTGCGTCGGCTTTAGTTACCACAGGGCCACGCGATACTTGGTTGGACCAAGCCATCGTACGGAGTAGATGGAGGATCTAAGGAGAACGTGAACATAGACGTTTTGCAGCTGTTAATTTAACTTCAACGAAGAAACTCTCTGCATAAATAAGCAAGATGTTGGCGGGACATACGGCTACCTAATATCACGTGCCTCGCCATATATAGAGCTCAGATGTTGGCTAGCCTAGTTCATAATGACAAGACGGGCTCAGCATCACGCTAAACCTTATCTCAACATCTTCGGACCTCAATCTTCAAATCAACTTTATGTCATCCCCAAGAGCTTCAATTCAAACGCTGAAGGGATCCAACATGGGGGGGGGGGGGG